GGCAGAAGGACAGAAGCACACTGCTGAGGGGAGCAGCGGGCGAGGCAGGAGAGGTCTGCGTGCCATGTGGAATCTCCCTGGCCGGCCAGCAATCAAACCCACACTGCAGAGGCTATGAACAGCTTCACAGCAGTGCGCTCAACCCACAGTGGCACCGGGGAGGCCCTGCCTTTTGATAAACATCCAGATGTTCTTAATTTTAATGTTCTAATTTATCAATATTTTATTTTGTAGTTACTAATTTTCCCCTCATTTGAAAACTCTTTGGGGGGCCCTCCCTGGTGGCACAAGAGGTTAAGATACAACCTATGAAGCTCTCTGCAGCCACTGCAGTGCAGTTTCGATCCCCGGCCAGGGAGCTGACACACACGGTGCAGCAGACCTCTCCTGTTGTGCCTGCTGCTCCCCTCAGCAGTGTATTTCAGTCAATCTGCCTGTTCTGCAACACACTCTGTCTCTGGTGAATCCTCTCACCGCCCCCCAATTCTTCTGTTCTACACCCCAGTTCTTCTATGCATAAATAAATAAATAAATAAATAAAATCTTTAAAAAAAATAAAAACTCTTTGGTTATCCTAAGGTCATGAAGGTGTGTTGTAATTTTTTTTTTTTAAGAGGCATGTTTCATCCATTTATTTGCTTGTCTGTTTTGTTTGTTTTTTTGTTTATACATGCACTGGGCACAGCCAGAAGCGCGGGAGGGTGAGAGAATTCACCAGAGCCAGAGCGGGGAGCAGAGCAGGCAGACTGATGAAGTACACTGCTGAGGGGAGCAGCGGGCGGCAGGAGAGGTCTGCGCGCCATGTGGGACCCTCCTCAGGTGGCCGGGGAGCAGCCGGGGATCGAACTGGTGCCGCAGAGGCTGCGAGCAGCTTTGCAACCCAGCACTCAACCACTGCGCCACCGGGGAGGCCCGTGTGTTGTAATTTTTAACATTTTATTCTTTTATTTTTTGCGTTTAGATCTATAGTTTATCTGGAATTGAGTGTGTGTGTACTGTGTGCGATTCAGGATTAGTAATATTTTCCCCCTGACACAGATAGATATACATTATCTTTTATCAAAAAGATTGTCCTTTCCCCCCATCTCTGCAATGGCACTTTTGTCATAAAACAAATGGATCTATTGCGGGATTCTCCATGCTACCACATTGATCTACTGTGTGCCAGTGATACACTGTTGTTTTTTCAAAGATTTATTTATTTATGCATACAAGAAGTGAGGTACAGGCCAGAGGTGTGGGGGTGAGAGGATTCACCAGAGATAGTGGGGAACAGAACAGGCAGATTGACTGAAACATGCTGCTGAGGGGAGCAGCGGGCGAGGCAGGAGAGGTCTGCTGTGCCATGTGGGTAGCTCCCTGGCCAGCCAGGGATCGAACTCGTGCTGTAGTGGCTGGAGACAACTTCATGGGTTGCATCTTAACCCCTTTCGCCACCAGGGAGGCCCTGATATCTGATAGTTTAAATGCTCTAACTTTGTTCTTTGTTTTAATTTGTTGCGCTTGTTCTTGATCCCCTGGCATTTCTCTCTAAATTTCAGAATAAATTTGTCAAAATTTATTTAATTTATTTAAAAATCTTGGGGTTTTGGGCCTCCCCGGTGGCCCAGCAGTTGAGTGCTGGGTTGCGAAGCTGCCCGCAGCCTCTGCAGCACTGGTTCGATCCCCAGCTGCTACCCGGCCACCGGAGGAGGGTCCCACATGGCGCGCAGACCTCTCCTGCTGCCCGCTGCTCCCCTCAGCAGTGTACTTCGGTCCCTCTGCCTGCTCTGCTCCCCGCTCTGGCTCTGGTGAATTCTCTCACCCTCCCGTGCTTCTGACTGTACCCAGTGTTTGTATGTATAAATAAATAAATAAATCTTTGAAAAAAAAAACTTGGGGTTTTGATTGGGATTGTATTGAACCTATAGATCAGTTGGGAGAAGTGGTATCTTCAAATTCATGGATGTGGCATATTGGATGTGGCATTTTTTCTTTTTTCTTTTTTTCCCCTCATACCTAATATGTCAGCAATGCTGGCTATTTCAAAACATACCAGTGCTTCTCACCAACTTTAGTCCAAGTTGCCAACATATTTCATCTGTATTATTGCAATACTGGTGAGAAGAAACTGGTCTCCTGCTGCCTCCCTTGCCTCTTCATTCTATTCTCAGCCGGGCATTCAGAATGATGTTCCTGTCGCTTGTCAGTGATTTGTAGGAGCGCCTTTTTCTAGTCACAGGCAGCAGTCCTGCCCTCCTGTGACTATGCAGGTGTTTCTCTTCACCAACCTCCTCCCTTTGCAAAGCAGCAGAGGCAGCTCTCCCCGCCACTGTCCACCTGTGACTGTGCAGGCATCTCTTTTAAGAAACCTGTCCCTTTCAGGGGCAGCTCCTTCTGCCCGCTTGTGTCTGTGCAAGCATCCTTGACTTCCCTTCCTTTTTATTTATTTATTTATTTATTTAATAAAATCACTTTTTTTTTAAAAAAGATTTATTTATTTATTTATTTATTTATTTATACAAGCACTGGGTACAGTCAGAAGCGCGGGAGGGTGAGAGAATTCACCAGAGCCAGAGCGGGGAGCAGAGCAGGCAGAAGGACCGAAGTACACTGCTGAGGGGAGCAGCGGGCGGCAGGAGAGGTCTGCGCGCCATGTGGGACCCTCCTCCAGTGGCCGGGGAGCAGCCGGGGATCGAACCAGCGCTGCAGAGGCCGTGGGCAGCCTCGCAACCCAGCGCTCAACCGCTGCGCCACTGGGGCGGCCTTCCCTTCCCTTTTTAAAATAAACTTGCCTTTTTGAATATAAAAGACCAAGAAACAAAAAATAAAAATAAAAATAAATTAAATTAAGGTATAATTGACATATAACATTAGTATCAGGTGTACACAATTTAATTTGATATTTGTATATATTGTGATATGGTCATCACAGTAAATCAGTGTATCTGTCACCAAACATAGTTACAAAAAACTTTTGTATGAGCTCTAATTTTTACATATGGGAGGCAAGTCCTTTGTTAGATTGATATATTACATTTTTTCTGACTAAGAACATTCCATTTTCTTTTTTTTTAAAGACTTATTTATTTATGCATACAAGAATTGGGGCCAGAGGTGTGGGGGTAAGAGGATTCACCAGATACAGAGTGGGGAGAAGAATAGGCAGATCTACTGAAAATACACTGCTGAGGGGAGCAGTGGGCGAAACAGGAGAGGTCTGCTGCGCCATGTGGATAGCTCCCTGGCTGACTGGGGATCGAACTCAGGGACTGAACTCATGCTGCAGAGGCTGCGGATAGCTTCACAGTGCTGTGCTTAATCCCTTGTGCCATCAGGGAGGCCCATATGCCAAATTCTTAAAAACATTTCCCTGTTATTGTATAAAATTTATGGTTTGAGTTTTTATATTGTCTAAGATCCAACTCAAACTACATTTTGTATATGGAATTATGGGTTGTGATTCAATTTTTTCCCTACATTGATGTTCGAGAACCATCTTTTCAAAAGCTTTTCCTTTCTCCTTTGAAGTGTCTCACGGCCTCTAAAGATCGCTTTAGCTGAGTCAGACCACATCATTCCTCTCTGAAACCCTCCACGTACTTCCTATCTCAGAGTAAAGACCAAAATGTACGCTATTTTTTTTAATTATAAATTTTATTTTTATATTCCCCATACAATTGCAACCCCCTTCTTTTGACCCCAAGCCCTCCCCTCCCCGCCCCCCACCCCCCATAGAGTGTCTCTGGGTCATAGTTGTTTGTTGATTTTGATTTTTACTTTCTTATAGTTATTCTTTTTCCTGGTCCCTTATTTAAGTTTTCTAGATTCCTGCTATGAGTGAGACCATCTGGTATTTTTCTTTTTCTTTCTGGCTTATTTCGCTGAGCATGATCCCTTCCAGCACCATCCATGTTGCTGCAAATTGCATGTGTTTATCTTTTTTGAATGCTGAGTAATATTCCATGGTGTATATGTACCACATCTTCTTGATCCAGTCATCTACAAAATGTACGCTATTAATGTTCTACATGATCTGGAAGCAGGTTTCCATCCTGATCTCATGTACTACCACTTTCCCTCACTTCTAAACACACTGACCCCAAGGCCTGCCTGGTGGTGCAAGGGGTTAAGTCGCAGCACTATGAAGCTGTTAGCAGTCACTGCATCATCTGTTTGATTCCTGGCCAGGGAAGTGACCCACATGGTGCAGACCTCTCCTGGCTCGACCACTGCTCCCCTCAGCAGTGTATTTCAGTAGATCTGCCTATTCTGTTTCCCACTCTGTCTCTGGTGAATCCTCTCCCCCGCCCCCTGCACTTCTGGCCTGTACCCTAGTTCTTGTATACATAAGTAAATCTTTAAAAAAAACAACACATTGACCCCCTTCAGCTGTTTTTTTTTTTAAAGATTTATTTTTTTATGCATACAAGAGCTGGGGTACAGGCCAATGGTGCGGGGGGACGGGGACGGTGAGAGGATTCACGAGAGACAGAATGGGGAGCAGAACAGGCAGACTGACTGAAACACACTGCTGAGGGAAGCAGCAGGCACAACAGGAGAGGTCTGCTCAGCAATGTGGGTAGCTCCCTGGCTGGCTGGGGGATTGAACTCATGCTGCAGAGGCTGCAGACTGCTTCATGGTGCTGTGCTTAACCCCGTGCGCCACCAGGGAGGCCCTCCTTGCTGCTCTTTAATCATGCCAGACACTCCATCTCAGGGTCTGTAGAAGAAAAGCACTTTCCTCAGGTATCTATATGGCTTATTTGTTTATTTTCCTCAGTGTTTTCTTTCTTTTTAAAGAAGTGTTTTTTTTTTTTTTAAAGATTTATTCATTTATGTGAATAACTATAAGAAAGTGAAAATCAAAATCAACAAAAAACTATGAACCAGAGACACTTTTTGGGAGGTGGGGGCCGGGAGGGGAGGGATTGGGGTCAGAATGGGGCATTTGCAATTGTATGGGGGAATATAAAAATAAAATTATTTAAAAAAAATAAAATAAAAGATTGTCTAATATATGGTATAAAAAAAAAGATTTATTCATTTATGGTTAAAAGAACTGGGGTACAGGCCAGAGGTGTGGGGGGTGAGAGGACTCAACAGAGACAGTGTGGGGAGGACATGTGGAGTGACTGAAATACACTGCTGAGAGGAGCAGTGGGCGAGACAGGAGAGGTCTGCTGTGCCATGTGGGTCACCTCCCTGTCAGGGGATCAAACTCATGCTGCAATGGCTGTGGATAGCTTCATAGTGCTGAGACTTAACCCCTTGTGCCACCAGGGAGGCCCTCCTCAGTGTTTTCTTAATGAAGCTCTACCATTCCCTGTTTTGTTTTCTTCTCTTATATACCATTATCTAGCATATTGTATATTTAATTTTTGTTTCTTCCACCTGAATGTAAGCTCTAAAAGCTAGGGATTTGTTTTGTTCACCAGTCTCCCCAGCATGTAGGACAATGCCTGGCACATAGCAAGCACATACATTTGCGAAGTAAGAAGACTGAAGCCCAAAAGATTAAGTTACTTGCCTGAGATTATACAGGTAATAAACAACAGAGCTGAAATTTCAACCCAAGCAGCCAGAGTTCATCCTCTTGAGAAGTGGTCTCCATTACTAAGGCTCAGGGAGACACAAAGGTGAAGGAAACCTAGCAACTCCCTCTGTCTTTTGCCTGCACTGGGGCCAGTTCTCCGAGGGTTTAGGTCCAGCTCTTCAGGGAATCAAGGCCCTGCCCCAGGCCATGAATGGGGCAAGGCCAGTGTACTAATGCCCCCCAGTGGCTACGGTAGGGAAGAACAGGTAAAGTGCAGCTTGAGGCTGAAAAGCGTGTTGGTGGGGAACCTGGTTGGTTCTCCCCTCACAGAAGACACAATGCCAGGTGTAGGCATAACATCTTTATTTTATCACAAGGGTCAGGCAGTGGGGCAGTGCAGCATCCAAGCCCCAGACCAGACATGCAGCATCCACATGCAGGAACAGCTACATAGGCTGGGGCAAGGCCAGGGGTAGGGGACTGGGACCATAGGACACCCACAGCATCCCTGCCAGGATGTTTGGGCCTTGGGTGCTTCTGCCTCCACTACAGCAAGGAGACAGAGGACTGGGCTGCCTCCCATGGCTAGAACCCTATCACTCTGGCCAGGAAGAAAGATGGCACAGGGGTCTGGCTGGCCAGTCTATAGCACTAGATTCCCGATATCCGGGAAGAGGGTCTACACTTCCGAGTCCCCAACAGGGCTAGACCCTGATCCCAGAAAGGTTTAGCAGAGTTGGGACCAAGCCCTACTCCACCCAGCAGGAGCAAGTCCATGAAGGGGACTTCCCTGAGCACACAAAGGAGCCTCCTAAGGCAGTAGTAAACTGAGGGAGCTGCTGTATACAGGAGGCCTTACCTTTGTGCCCCGGGATGGGGGAGAAAGATTTCAGGTATGAGAGCAGACCTGGGGCTAGGGCGGGGTAAAGTGAAGGGCAACAGCCCTGGGCCTGTAGGCCACAGCCACCAAGGCCTAGAGGGGCTGAAGTCTGAGGCCTGGGGCTTCCTGGTGCAGGGTTTTGGGTTGGGAAGACCAGGCCAGGAGAGGGGAGGGTGGCCATCTTACCCAGACCCCTTGCACCCATGCTGACCTCTGGCCAGGGCCACAGGGAGGACGGACAGATAGATGCACAGAGAACTTCAAGGCACCAGGATTCTGAGGAGTAGCAGGGCCACCCCCCGCAGACAGTGATTATAATAAACATCTTCAGAGCTTACACCACACGACATATATATAGGGTGGAAGGAGAGAGGCTGAGAGAGACACAAAATGGGGAAGAAACACACAGGCAGATGAGGGTGAGAGAGACAAACCAGGTGAATATGGCAGTGAAAGTGAGGGTGTGGGGCAGAGGAGAGGAGGGAGACAGAGATGGGAGAGAGGGCAGAAAGCCAGAGACGGCCTGAACAGGCAGCACTTCTGGTCCCTACAAAATAAGGCACCAGAGTCAGTAACGTTCCCATTGTCCCTGTGGTATTAAAACGGGTGCTGGAGGGAGGGGCGGGCGGCTGCTGAAGGACGAAGGCCTTCTGGAGTCTCACACCTGTGCACCGGTGGCCTTCTTGATCAGGGGTATCTGCAAAGACGGAAGAAGCCATGAAGTCCAGACTCTGGGGCCCACAACCCTCCACCTGAGCCAGTACAGCGTGCCGGCCAGATCACCCCCGACCCTCACCAGGCACACACCTTAGACAGGTCCACGCCTGTGAGGGCATGCACAGAAGCAGGCAGCTCTGCCAGCAGTCGGCTCACTTCTGACGTCACCTTGCTGTTGTCCCCACTGAGGACCACGATCTCATCGACTTTGGTGAGTGGGGCGGCAATTTTGGCAGCAATCTAGCAGATGGGGCGAGAAGAGAGTTTGGTTGGTATCCCTGTCTACCTGCCTGCCCAGCAGGCATGTCACCCAAACCCCAAAGCAGCCTGGTGGCCCTTATTTGCAAGCCATGGTCAGAGAGACCCCATGAGCCAGATACGAGCCCAGGCTTGTCAGTTTCTTGCCCCCTGCCAAGGATTCTCCCATTAAGTGCTTCTAGTCAGCCTGTCGTCATGTTACTGACAAGGCCCAGAGGAGTTGTGGCACTTGCCCAGCTAGCCCCAGTCTCAGGGTGGAGGAGCCTCACCTGCGGGAGGGCCTCCAGCACCAAGGCCATCTTGGCTGAGTCCCCATATTTCTGGTAGGCCTCAGCCTTGAGCTTCATCCGCTCAGCCTCTGCCTTGCCCATCGCCTCGATGACTGCTGCCTCCGCCTCCCCAATTTTGCGGATCTTCTCAGCCTCTGCTTGCGCCAAGAGCACCTGCTTCACCCTGGGGGTTTCAGGCCCGGCAGGATCAGTGGGGAGTGCCAGGGTCCCCTCGAGTTTAGTTTGGGGGTCAGCAAACCCTCAAGCCCTCTGTTCTGGCAGGTGTAAAGTTGATGTGGGGATGATGGTGGGGGCTGCCATGGCAACTTGATTCTGGCCAGGGAGAAGCCACTGGCTCCCAGGTGCTAATGGGAGAGGGGACGAGCACCACACCCTCTGTGCTAAGCACTACCCCCTTTACTTGTCTTCCTCACAACAGTCCCTTCACAGTGAGTACTGGGGACGGGAGGGTTGGTGTTAGAAGCTGCTTCCAAGCTATGGTCAGGAGGCTGGAGGGATCTCGTGGGTGGCAAAGGAGCCTGGCTCAGCCCCAGCCTCGGCTCTGGCTGGCACTCACTTTTCCCCCTCGGCGATCTGTTGTATGCGGTGGGCCTCGGCCTCGGCGGGGCGGCGCACTGTGGCGATGAGCTCCTTGTCTGTGCGCAAGATCTCCTGCGCCTCCACTGCAATCTGCTTCTTGCGCTGCACAACCTCGATTTCAATCTCTTCTTGCCTGATCTTCTGTTGCTCACGGGCCCCTTGTAGTTCATAGGCCAGCTGAGCCTCGGCTGTCTGTAGCAGGAGTGTTATCAGTACATCAGGGGCTAGTCACCAAATCGTGGGCCCTGAGCCCTAACCCGGGATGCCCTGTGGCTTCTCACCTTGATGTTGACCTCCTCACTGAAGGCTGACTTTTGCAGCTCAAAGGCTCGCTTGGAGTCGGCAATCTTGGTATCTGCCATGAACTTCACATCCAGCATCTCCTTCTTGCACTCGGCTTCCTGGGGACCGAAGGGGTGGGTGCTGAGGGTCCCCTGAGTGACCAAGGTCTCACTACCCATGCGCTCCTTGCCTCGGGGGCAGGAAGGAAATCCCACGTACCCGAATGCCAGCGTCCCGCTCAGCCTCGGCCACGCCGATGTCGGCATCTCTCTGTACCACAGCAGTCTGGGTCTTGCCCAGGGAGCTCAGATAGTCCACTTTGTCATATACATCCTGGGGAAGGAAGAGGAACAGTCACAGGTATTCAGGGCATAGAGGCCCTTCCCACCAAGCCCCCCATCTTTGACAGATGCTGGGGCCCACAGCCTTCCCATCACACCGCACCTTAATGGTGAAGCTGAGGATCTCGATGCCCATGCGGCCCACATCAGGGGCTGCCACCTCCCGCACCAGTTTGGCAAACTGGTCCCGGTCCTGATAGATCTGCTCCACAGTCAGGGTTCCTAGGGGCAGAGCGTCATAGGTTGGCTCCCCAAGGCCCCAGCCAGCCGGGAGGATACTTGCACTAGAGGTCTAAGTGTATGCAGGATAGTGTGGTCTAAGCTGTCTTCCTGGGGTTTCTTCTTAACAGTGTTTAACGCTGAGTCTCCTTATGCAGCATCCACGTTGGATGAGGAAAAGGGTCCTAAGCAGCACCAGATGCCTCACCAGACTGGCAGTCCCACACAACCCCAACTCCCTCAGTTGCCCTCCCCTTCATTCAATTTGCCCAAAGTTTTGAAAGGAAATACTTGGAAGAAAACATTTCAGCTTTCCAGCTAGAAAGCTGAGTGGAACTTACAGCCCCCCCCGCCCAGCCCTGCAACCCTCCCTGGGACTGGTCAGGGGGCCCTGCAAGGCGCCTCACCGAGGATGGAGCGCAGGTGTCCCTCCAGGGTCTGAAGGACAACGTTCTTGATGTCCTGCACATTCTTGCCCAGGAACTGCTCACAAGCCACAGCTAGGAGCTCCTTCTCCGTCATGATCTTCACCTGCCGATGGTCACAAAGGCCCCTGAGTCAGGTTGAGGGGAGGGAGAGGGAGGCCCCAGCCCAGAGGTTTAGAGGGTGATGCTGTGCTCCTCCCTCCTTTCTCAGACCTAGAGGCCTAGGGCTGGGAGGGGGCAGGGTCTGTCTGGGGCCTTTAGTGGGATGGACATATGGAAATTCTTACTGTGAGAAATTTCATCTTCACTGGCCCCACTGGGCCCTGGCATGGCCTCTGGGTGGGCAGAGGCCCACCACATATAGCAGATCACTGAGAGTGAGAAGTGAGCACCACCATGGGCATTTGGGGCTTGCCCCCCGCCCTTCCATCCCACTGTTCCCTCATTAGCCAATTCCTCTTTTGCAGATTCCCTGCAGTAGGGAGACCTGCAGGTCGAGGGACAGAAAATGCAAAAAGGAGCACGAGCAGCAGGGAAACAGACAGATAGAGACTAGGGAAGAAAGTCCAGACAGGGCAGGAGACTGGTCCAGGGGGTGGCCACTGAGGGTGGGCATCTTCCTGCCTTTCCTCCGAGGCACTAAGCCAGTAAGCCTATTACATGGCTGAACCTCACTGCCCTGTGAAGCTGAGAGGTGGGAAGGGCAAGGAGTCCCTCGCCCGGGCACCGAGCTGGAAATGCAGCGAAGCCTTGCCTCCAGAGCCCAGTGCTCTTCTGCCTCAGATGGGCTCACCCTCTGGCCCCACCCCTTCAGCCCCGACCCAGGGAACAGGGAATCTGGATTCTGGGGCTTGGTATTTTTGACACCTGCAAAGAATGGGGTGGGGTTAGTGAGACAAGAGCCCTCTGAACTGCTTCTGTCCCTCGCAGGCCCGCTGAGGAGAGAAGGGTGACTGTTAGTCCTGCTGGGTGGCCAAGGGGCGAGCGAGTACGTTCCAGTGGTGAAAACGACCCTCTCCTGGAAGAAGGAGGTAGGGGCAGGGGCTCTGGAGAGACTGCCTCTGGCTGCCGTCCTCTCCTCCTCCCCCCAAACCCCAGCACGGGGACGAGGCGGCTCAATGGACATGCGTGGGGCTGCTGAGTTACTATACCTGGGCGACACCCGTCACAGTTAAAGCTACCCCCTCGGCCGTCTCTACGTCCTCGCAGCGGGGCTGCAACGTCATAATCTCTAGGGAAATCCTGCCAAAAAACGCAAAACAGGGGCATGGGTCTGGGGACCCAGGGCCGGGACTGTGGGGAGATAGTCCAATATCGCACTGCTGCGGCTGGGACGGGCCAGGGGGTCTATTGCTGAGGAGGGTGGAGAGGACTCTTCAAGGGGTCAGAGCTGGGAGTATGTGAGGACATGGGATGGGTGGCAGGGTACAGCTGGCTCCAGGAGAAGGATGGGTAGAGTGGGTACAGCTGGCTCCAGGAGAAGGCGTCTTCTAAGTGTCCCCCGTGTGCACATATGGTTTCTGCTTAAATCAGCCTGGCTTGAAGAGAGGGAAAGGCAGGCGAGACGATTTGGCTGTGGGTGTGTGGGCTGGGAGGGGCTAGGGAAAGCCCAGGCACAGCTGCGTGTATGTCCGTGGAAGGCAGGGAAGTGTTGGCATGCACAGAGCCATGCAGGCTATCCATGGATGCCATCTGAATACCCCCGTAGCCCTCACCCATCCCCTGGATCTGCTGAGCACCCAGAAATGCGGCAGGGGGCTGCCTAGAAAGCCCTGCCTAGAGTTCATGTGGGAACACACCTTCTGCTGGGCCAAGACGGGGTCAATCCTGCCCCTGATCCTTGCCAGGGAAGCCCTTCCTGGTCCCTCTACTTGGCAGCAGGCTGTGACTTGAAGACTACCCTCTGGGGTTGGGCCCACGTGGTTCATGTGGAGAATGTAGGCTGGGGTCACACTACAGCCTTCTGGCAAAGCAGCACTAATCCTAGAGACCTGTTCTGCCCACACATTCTGAGTCCACGTCACCCAATTTAAAAGGGACCAGGGCATCTGCAGTTGTTTCATGCAGAGTAGTGGGTTTGGAGGGGGACAGGCCTACTTTACAGGAGGTGGCAAGGGAGGCTGTGGCCCTACCCATTCCAGACAGGGTATTCCAAGCTTCTTAGGTCTCTGCACTGAAGCCTGCCCTCCATGGCTACAAGGTGGGGAAGGTCCCTTCCCCAGTCAGAGAGGGCAGGCTGTGAGAGGAAGGGCTTTTGCCAGAGAAGGCTGAAGGGCAATGTCATGCAGAGGGGAAGGGATGGGGAAGAGGGCATTTAGGTCTTTTCCAGCTGGAGACCCATGACATGCAAGCTCTGAGGGGTAGGGGCTTTCTGATGTTCACTGCTGCGCCCACAGTGTCTGGAACTGAGCAGGTGTTCAGAGAGTGGGTGAATGGAGCAATGAGCAATGAGACGAGAACCCACACAGTACCAAGAAAGCACCTAAAGTTACTAACAAAAATTACTAAATGCCCTGGCTCAAGAGTAGATTTCACCAGCTCTGACTGCACGGCAACGGAGAGTGAGATGCTAGATCACTGGCTTGTCAAAGGGAGAGCCTATCGACGATCAAGTTTCAGTTTCTCTAGCACTTCTTTCCCCAAAATCCTAGAGCAGCCTCCTATCACTTTACTTGCTTTTCTGATATCTCTACCAGGCACAAAGAGGGCAAGATCCTCCCCGCTTCCCAGATGGAGAAACTGTAGCCCAGTGAAGAAGAGACGACTGGCTCAACAAAAGACCTGGCAGAGGGGAATGGTAGAGGCTCTTTACTCTCAGGCTGGTCAAGGAGATCGGAGGGGGCAAGGGGCTGGGTGAACAGAAGTCGCCATGGAATCTACTTCTGGCTTTGTAGGAAGGAGGGCTGGGCCTGCCACTGGAGTATCAGGCTGGATAAGGGGCTAGCAAGGGTTTCTGTGGTGCCTGGGGGACTAGGCCCTTAGCAGTAGTTAGCACTGAACTCCCATTGCTGAATGTCCAGCTCTGTCACATAATCAGAACTGGTCGACTTGGGCAGAGCTTCCAGAATCCCTTGCTCTTTCCCCAGTAGCAGCCCCAGTCGGGGAGGGCAAGGAAGCTAAGGATATTTAGGGATCCATCCTGGCACCCAGAGCAGCAGAGGTGGGGGCAGAGGGGAGGGAGGCACACTCTCAGGAGAGGACTCCATCTGGCTCCTGCCTGCCTGGCCCCGCAGAGCAGGAAGAGAGAAAGTTAGACACAGGGGAGGAAGCAGGTGGGTTATTACCTGTGCAACCCCAGTTACGAATAGCGGGACCCCCTCCGACGTCTCAATATTCTCACAGCGACACAGGATGGTCATAACCTCCAGAGACAGTCTGAGGAGCAGCCGGGGGAGGGGTGGGTAGGGAGAGGTAGGGACAGGAAGGGTAGGAGGGGACACAGCAAACACACACAGTGGTTACCAGACAAGCACCGATGCCTGATGCCTGGGGGTCGGGCCGGGGCGCTCTCAATATTTCAACCCCCCACTGCCAGCTCAGCATTGGGCTGTAGGGAGACAGAGAAAACCCCATGCTGGCTTGAGCCCTCTGGGTCTCTGCTCTAGCCCCCAAACCCTTCTAAAGAGGAGCTGTTGGGGGCTGGGGAGGTGGGCCCATGTCCTGAGGTAGGAAGGCTTGGGGCCACCACCTCATTCTCACAGGAGATTCCTGGCATAGTTTGGGACATTTAGCCTCAGCTCCACCCTCTAAACACAGGCAAGCCTGTGTTTGCAGAAATTGGGAGGGGGAAGCTTCTCTGGGGATTAATGAGCCACCATAAATACTGGCTCCTCCTATTCAGGGCAGTAGGAAGGCAACTTAAGGCCAGAAAAGGCCAAAGAAGATTCTGGACTTTTTGACTTGGGGGCTGGGTGGTATGTGTCAAGGAAGGCTGGGGGAGAGAGCGTGCCCCTGCCTGGGTAGTCACAGGGACAAGCGGAAGATGACGGAGTAATGCACTGGGATTTCTAAAGTTGGGCACAGGTAGAGAAGAATCATGGTAGAAAACGCTGCTAGGCCCATCCGTCTTGGGCCCCTTGGCTGTGTGAGTGTACGTGCGCTCAGGCTGGTGGGCCAGGCGAAGGCTGGGCTGTGGAAAGTGTGGAAGGGGAGGCTGAAGTAGGAAGAAGCAGGTGAACTGGGAGGGTGGAGGGTGGGAAGCAGCAGGCAATCTGGAGCCCCCTCAGCTCTTATAATGCCAGTCCTGGGGGCCCCCATCATGCAGAGGTGCACAGGCTGCCTTCATTTGAGCCCCTAACACTGGCACTCTTGGGCCTGAAGACGGTTGACCCAGCTCAGACAGGAACCCACCAAGCTCTCTTCCGGGGAAGGAGAGGGAAGTAGGAGGGAAGGAGGGAGAGAGGGGGAAAGGAAGGAGAGAAGACAGGAGGCTGCAGCTCAGATGCCAGGGGAAGAGGAATGGCTCAGCTAGGGGGAGAGAGCTGTCCATATCAGGGCTTCAGGAGAGTACAGGACGCAGCAACAAAGTGCAGGAGGACGGATGCCCTGAGCCTGGAGGAAGCATGGCTGACACCGAGGGTGGGTGACATAGGATGGCTGTGGAAAGTACCTTGAGGATCCAACTGGGTTTTAGCAGCCTCTACTCTGACCTGAGAGGTTCCTACAGCCTTAGGGGAATAAATGCCTCAGTCTGTGGATGGGACCCCGATTAAACTAGGGGGCAGGAAAGGGGTTGTCCCCAGAGCAGTGGCCTAACGAGGAGGGACTACAGGCTCAGACTACCAGTCAGGGGGCTAGAGGGAGCACACCCAGCACACTGAGTTTCCTAAGATGAGGCCCCTTTCCAAACCTGCTGTCAGAGAAGCCTGGCCCTCCTGTCCTGGCCCTTTGCTCCCTGGAGTAAGAAATGGGAAGGGAAGCAAGAATGTGGATGCCCATGCAGGACAGGCTTTAAGTCTGGAACTCTCTGGGCCTGGCGGTACTTTGCACTAGATTCTCTATTGTCCCAGGACCTTTTGGCATGTGGGGTGTGGTGGCAGTGTCTCTAGAGGGGACACCCCATGCTTCTGACAGGCTAACAGTCCCACTCAGGAGTGCCTACGTCTCCTGAGAGGAAGTTTGGCCAGTATTGATTACTTTCAGATGCTTTTGGCCCTGGGCCAGAAGAGTCAGCCAGCATCCCTCAACTCAGGGCAAAGTGCGGGGAGAGATGGGAGAATGGAGGGAGGTTACTAGGAAATCAGTAAAGTTAAAAGTTGCAACCTGCTACTCTAGCTGGCACCCTCAGCCTCTTTGAAGCCTCAAGAACCAGCTGCTCAGTATGGCTGTGGGGCTTCTCCCGACCCACTGGTGGAGGATTTCCACTGGAATCTCCATTGCTTCATTTTTGGGATGACCAACCCTTCCCACTCCCCCAGTTCTGCTGTCCCCGTTTTCTAGATCCTGGTTGGAAGGATGTAGGCCACTCCCCTGATCTGAAATCTTGAAGGGGGTGATAGTGGGGAGGTGGCTGGCATGACTCATCTCTCTTGGGTGGGCAATGAGGGTGGCAGGACAGGCCAGTCCAAGCCTGGCCCTGCTGGGGTCTCTGGGGGAGCCAGCAGGTGTAGCCTGATGGTGGGCTCTCTGGGAAGCTGTAATCTCCCTTCCTCTAGTAAGTCTTTCCAGACTGACTGAGGAGGTCCACAGGACTGGCCTGTCCTACCTCAGCACCAATTTCTTGGATTCCCCACCCCCGTCTCTAACACATTGTTGTCACAAGCCACTTCACCTTGTACATCTCTGGTATTTAGTCCCTGCCTGGACTATCCCTGAGCTTGCACAGGTGAGGTGAGGCTGTGCATAAGATGTCTCTTCAGGGCCTCCCTGGTGGCGCAAGGGGTTAAGTCTCAGCACTATGAAGCTATTCGCAGCCACTGCAGCACGAGTTCAATCCCACATGATGCTAACCCACAACATGCAGCAGACCTCGCCTGTCTTGCCCGTTCCTCCCCTCAGCAGTGTATTTCAGTCAATCTGCCTGTTCTGCTCCCCACTCTGTCTCTGGTAAAACTCTCATACTCTGCCCTCCCTGCACCCCTGGCCTGCACCCAAGCTCTTGTATGCATAAATAAATAAAATAAAACTTAAAATAAAAAAAAGATGTCTCTTGGGCCTCCCTGGTGGCGCAGCGGGTTGAGCGCAGCGCTGTGAAGCTGTCCGCAGCCTCTGCAGCGCGGGTTCGATTTCCGGCTGGCCAGGGAGAATCCCACATGGCGCAGTAGATCTCTCCAGCCTCGCCCGCTTCGCCTGTCTGCCTGTTCTGCTCCCCGCTCTGTCTCTGGTGAATTCTCTCATCCTCCCGCACCTCTGGCCTGTACTCTAGTTTTTGTACAAGTAAATTAATCTTTGAAAAAACAAAAAAAAGATGTCTCTTTAGCAGTTCCCTCCCTCCTTAGACCCACTATCATTGGGGTATAGAATTAACACTTTGAGCTAGAATCAGGAACTGGGATTCTGTCTGAGCATGACCCTGAATTCTCTAGGGTAGAATTCAGGCTCCAGTGGAAAAAGCACAGCCACTGGGGAGATGGTGGCTATGGACAGACCTCCCTGTGCCACCCGTTTCACCTGCTTCTTAGGAGACCCCACCCTCCAGAATGGAATGTGGCAAGTGGCAGATGCTCTAGCTGTCGGGTGGGTGAAGGCAGGAGCACCAGAAGTCCTTTTCTCCCTTGCCCACCATGACGCCAGGGTCCCAAGACTCCAGGTCCTTACCTCTGAGTGTCGGAGATACACCACCAGGCCCAGGCCCAGCCACCAAACACATACTGTTTATAGTCAGAACCACAACAGCCTCCTGGAAACAAAGCAAACAAACCCCTGCTGGTCAGTCTGTTCTTGGACCTTTCTTCCCTCCCTCCCACAGCAACTTTGACATTTACCTGCTCTGAACACTTGACAGCTCCCATTTTGGGGGTCAGGGCTGAGGTTACACATCAATGGGAGACATGCCCTTTAGGGGCACGGAATCTAGTTTGGTAGGCATAAGGAGGCTCTCCAATGAGAGGTTGAGAAGTCTGTATGTGGGAGTGGACAGGAAAAATGCCCATATTTTATCCAAGCATTCACTCAAAAACAGAGCATTTTTCTGTGCTGAGAATACAGATATGAAGACACCTCTTGTAGGAGGAGATACAACTGGGAGGGACCTTTCCTGGAGGTAACTGGAATATCATGTGATTTGCTTGTTAGGGCACAGATAGGGAAGCAGGGGACCTGACACTAGGAGGCTGACAGGAGGGGGTCTCCAGGTGAAGATGGGAGCCGGTGGGGTAGGTTCTCCATTCGCAGGCCCTTCACGGTAACTGTTCCTCTTATGGGCCAAACAGATGGGGGGAGATAAGGTCGTACCAATGAGAGAAGAGAAGGAAAGAGAAAGGATCTAAAAAGGAAATGGTTCCTGGAAACGAGATATTAGCCAAACTGAATGTTGCATGTGGCCACGACCCAGGGCTATCAAGCTATCAGCAGCCACTGCAGCATGAGGTCACTGGCCAGGGAGCTGACCCACATGGCGCAGCAATGGACATGTTCAGCATGCCCTCCATGCAGAATGAACATATATCAATTCCCGAAACTCTTGTAATGACCCTCCCTGCTAATGCCAAAACTACTCATCCAGTTCAAGAAAACTTTAGTAAAAGTTGGAGAGGCAGTTAAGTTGAAGCACAAAGAAATGTACAGACAACAGATGGTTCAAAGGAAATGAGATTGGGGGAAAAAGCCAATGGGTGTCATCACTCCCATGTTCACAAACCTGGGTTTTCAGGAAAGTCTTGGAGCATGTGCCTCCCAAAGTCAAAGGTCTGAGTTAGTTATTCATAATTGTATTATAGCCTCTCTGGGAACCTAAATCAGGGAACAAGGTGGGGTGATGGGGCAGAGGGTAGATCAGTGTCTCAGATGTTAGACTAAGGAGCAGGGTGTGTGTGGTGAGAGCAAGCACCACACAATACAAGGGGGGGGGAGGGGAGAGAGAGAGAGAGAGAGAGAGAAAGAGAGAGAGAGGAAGAAAACACAAGGATATAATGTAGTGAAACTCTCATACTCTGCCCCCCCCCGCACCCCTGGACCTGCACCCAAGCTCTTGTATGCATAAATAAATAAAATAAATCTTTTTTTTTAAGGATTTATTTTTATTTATTTATACAAGCACTGGGTAAAGTCAGAAGTGCGGGAGAGTGAGAGAATTCACCAGAGCCAGAGCGGGGAGCAGAGCAGGCAGAAGGACCGAAGTACACTGCTGAGGGGAGCAGCGGGCGGCAGGAGAGGTCTGCGTGCCATGTGGGATCCTTGCTGGTGGCCGGGGATTGAACCGGTGCTGCAGAGGCTGCGGGCAGCTTTGCAGCCCAACGCTCAACCACTGTGCCACCAGGGGAGGCCCAATAAAATAAATCTCAAAAAAAAAAAAAAAAAAAAAAAGCCTTTTTTTTCTTTAAAGATTTATTTATTTATTTATGCATATAAGAGCTGGGGTGCAGCCCAGAGATGCGGAGGCGGGGGGCGGGCGAGAGGCTCCACAGAGACAGAGTGGGGAACAGAACAGGCAGACTGAGTGAAATACACTGCTGAGGGGAGCAGCGGGTGAGCCAGGAGAGGTCTGCTGTGCCATGTGGGTTGCTCCCTGGCTGGCCGGGGATCGAACTTGTGCTGCAGAGGCTGCAGATTGCTTCATGGTGTGGTTGCTTAATCTCTTGTGCCACCAGGGAGGCCCCTCTTTTTTTTTTTTCCCACAAATACAAACTTACATTTGTATTTCTGAAACACTACTACACAAAGGGAACATACTGGCGTCAGAGAGAATGGGTAGAAGCCTCTTAGAGTGACCCAGGCTGATGTGGTGGATAATGTGGGAAGGTACTTCTAGTCTTGTGCAAGGGAACTTTCTGCAAGGATGAAAATGCTCTCCAGTTGTGCTGTGCAGTAATGCAGCCACTAGTCACCTGTGACTACTGAGCACAGGAAATGTGACTGGTGTACTGAGAAATTTAAATTTTATTTTATTTTTTTAAAGATTTATTTATTTCTGGGGCATGAGAGCTGGGTTACAGGCCAGAGATGTGGGGGGTGAGAGGATTCACCAGAGACAGAGTGGGGAACAGAACAGGCAGACTGACACTGAGGCACACTGCTGAGGGGAGCAGTGGGCGAGACAGGAGAGGTCTGCTTCGCCATGTGGTTTCTCCCTGGCTGGCTGGGGATCAAACTTGTGCTGCAGAGGCTGCGGGTTGCTTCATAGTGCGGTGCTTAACCCCTTACATGGTGCTTAACCCCATGCGCCACCAGGGAGGCCAAGAAACTAAAATTTTAATTTAACTAATTTCAATTTAAATGGCCACATGGCTAGGTGCTACCAAACTGGAAGTATAGGGCTTCCCTGGTGGCACAGGGGTTAAAAACAGCTATCAAGCTATCAGCCAGCCACTGCAGCTGGCCAGGGAGCTGACCCACATGGCACAGCAAACCTCTCCTGTTTCCTCTGCTGCTCTCTTCAGCAGTGTATTTCAGTAGATCTGCGTGTTTTTTTTTTTTTTTTTTAAGATTTATTTATGAGGATTCACCACAGAGTGGGGAGCAGAAGAGGTGGACTGACTGAGATACATTGCTGAGGGGCAAGACAAGAGAGATTTGCTGTGCCATGTGGGTCACCTCCCTGGCTGGGGATCGAACATGCGCTGCAGTGGCTGCTGATAGCTTCATAGTGCTGTGCCTTAACCCATGTACCATGAGGGAGGCCAAGATTTGCCTGTTCTGCTTTCCATTCTGTCTTTGGTGAACCCTGCCCTACCCTAACCCCCCCCCCCCAACCTCTGGCCTACACCAGAGTAGGGGCAGGAGGAAGTCTTAGGTCATTGTCAGTTTCTTTGTGGTGGAAATACCTGTCCAGAAGGTTGTAGCTCAGAAGAAAGTCACTGCAGGCTTTTTTACTCTGGGGAGTAGGACAAGGGAGGCCTCCAAGGACAAGCAGTTAATTTGAAATCTAAACCATCTTTGGGATCCAGTGAAACTGGAAGAGGGTCAAAAATCTCAGCTTGTTCTACTTCTTCTGGCCTGATGGGGGCTGGGCGCGGCTGTCTCCAGCCAGCTCCAGTGTAATTCTCCGTGTGCTCTGGCAGGATGTGGCGGCAGGGGCGAGTGCGCACTCTACCTTTTGCTTATTCTCTGACCTTGGGAGCCGACTGCCACAGCTCAAGTTGAACCGTGGCCAACAGGGCCAAGTTCCAGGGTAGCAACAACAGGAAGCTGGACTGCTAGGCTGCCCTGCCCCCGACTGGCTCCCCACCAGAAGGCATCTTCCTTCCAACTTCCAGGTCACACAGCCTGAGTACCACTCCTAAAAGAGGATACTTAGGTGTGTCTTCCTTGACCTCCCTAGTGCCCACTGTCTTGAGACCTGGAAGTTCTCCTAATTTTGTCACTTTTAAAAATCCAACTTGCTTTCCTTTTCTTTGTCCTCAACCAAACTGAAGAATCACAGGGTAACTTCCACCCAACTCTCAGCTCCTACCCTGACACAGTTGTATTCTTCCCTTTCTGCCCTCTTCTACTTCTTCCTACCAGTCCAGATAGACCATTTTGTGGCCTTCTCTCACCACACTTCAGGAAATCTCAGAATGTTTATAAATACATAAGAAACATTCGATTAAATTATCAAAATAGCCAAATATGTCAAGCAGTAATATGTGCTTCTTTATTAGTACATCAAATAATAAGATCTAGTGGTAGATCTAATAAATAGCTTAATTTCTAATTAATTTCTTTTCTTTTTTTTTTTTTTTTTAAAGATTGATTTATTTATTTATACAAGCACTGGGTACAGTCAGAAGCGCGGGATGGTGAGAGAATTCACGAGAGCCAGAGCGGGGAGCAGAGCAGGCAGAAGGACCGAAGTACACTGCTGAGGGGAGCAGCGGGCGGCAGGAGAGGTCTGCGCGCCATGTGGGACCCTCCTCTGGTGGCCGGGGAGCAGCCGGGGATCGAACCGGCACCGCAGACTGCGGGCAGCTTTGCAACCCAGCGCTCAACCGCTGCGCCACTGGGGAGACCCAATTTCTAATTAATTTCTTAATTTCCTCTCACCCCCCACCTCTGGCCTACATCCCGATTCTACTAAATAAATATAAAAAAAAAAGTTAGTGAAAATTAAAATGAACTTTCCCCCCATTCAAATGCACAAAGCTCTAAATTCTATGCACAAAAGCCAGGTTAAAAACCTCTGACCTCTTGAAGAGATGAGAAAAAGGTGTATGTATGATATTTGGATTCTCTTTAAATTCCTGGAAGTACAGAGAGAAAAAGGTTTCTTATTACAGAAGGAAGGAGGGAGGTTGGAAAATAAGAGTATCCAGACTTTTCAGGTGGAAAAGATGACCATGAAATGTATCAGCATCCTCCTGAAACTGGGCTGAGTGAGATGCCTCTGGACTCAGATGCAGGCTAAGTAACCAGGTGCGGGCAGGTAGGAACAGCTGCTCTGCCCTCTTGGGAGTCCACTGAATCTCAGTTTAATCATCTCATCTCAAATCCCAAGGTACTATACACCAGGCATTATACCTGCCAGTTTTCTCCCAATCTTACTTGACTCCAGCACCCTCAATTCTCAGCACAGCCTCCACTTTCCACCCCTAAAACAGCTTCGAAGCTAGCACTGCACCAGCTTCTGGCCAGAGGACTAGGTTCCCCGCAACTGGAGGGGCTCTTGGGCTCTTCTTACCCTTCCGCCTCAAGGCTCTCTTGGAGAGCTTTTGTCTCCTCAGTCCAGTGGAAGGCTTCCAGAAAGACAGTCCTTAAGAAAAACAAACTGGGAGGGCCTCCCCGGTGGCGCAGCTGTTGAGCGCTGGGTTGCGAAGCTGCCCACAGCCTCTGCAGCGCCGGCTCGATCCCCGGCTGCTCCCTGGCCACCAGGGGAGGGTCCCACATGGCGCGCAGACCTCTCCTGCCGCCCGCTGCTCCCCTCAGCAGTGTACTTCGGTCCTTCTGCCTGCTCTGCTCCCCGCTCTGGCTCTGGTGAATTCTCTCACCCTCCCGCACTTCTGACTGTACCCAGTGCTTGTATGTATAAATAAATAAATATTAAAAAAAATTATTAAAAAAAAAAAAGAAAAACAAACTGGGGGTGCAGATTCAGGTTCTAAAAGCCTTTTTGGGGAGGGGAGCTGGGAGATAGGCCCAGGTCTTACAGATGGCCAAGTGCAGCATTTTATATTTTTAATTTTCTAAAGATTTATTTATTTGTGAATACAAGAGCTGGGGTGTGTGAAGGGGGAAGAGGATTCACCAGAGACAGAGTGGGGAACAGAACAAACTGACTGACTGAAATACACTGCTGAGGGGAGCAGTGGGTGAGAAAAGGGAGGTCTGCTGGGCTATGTGGGCATCTCCCTGGCCCACCAGGGATTGAACTCATGCTGCAGTGGTTAAGCAGAGCAGCTTGGCACTTCCTCTGACCCTAAGGCTATCTCTGGTCTTTAGAGAAGTTAAATATTCCACTTCCCTCAGTGGAGTAGGGTCAGGGAGAGTGCGATTTCCTGTCCCTTGGAGAATGATTTTGAGGTCCAACCTGAGCCGAATGCCATATTCTGGGCTAAAAGTTCCCAACAGATTGATCACACATCTTAAGGCTGGGGAGCTAATAAACCCTGACCTAACCCAGCCCCTTGTACCCATTTCTGCAGCCAGCCCTAACAACTGCACACAGCCGAAAATAGGCATTGACAGTGGGAAGACATGAAGAATTCTGAAGCTACAGGCCTCCAAGCTGTCAGGAAACACAGCCCTTGCCCAGCAGTTGTCAGGCTGGGATGTACAAACTGGTACAAACTGGTGGCCATCTCCCTTCAAGACATCCAGTGTCCAAATTAAATCGCAGTCTTAAGGCAAGCTCTCTCTCCCCTTTCCAAAGCTGCAGTCCCCAAGCCCCACTTCTAAGCTCACAGAAATTCTGGAGCCTGCAACAATTTTGCAATCCAGCCTCGGAGCAGAGCCGGGTTTCTCAACCTGTAGAGGCCGCACCCGCGACTCCCTGGCTGTCAATTCCCGGAAACCCTAGCAAGCCCCAGCCTGCTCGGAATTAACGGGTCTGCCGGAGCCGGGGGAAGCATCCAAGTCCCAGCGGCCTTCCCCATACAGGCACTTGCCCTCCAAAACTGCGCGAACCAACGCCAGTCCCTGGCATTGGAATCCAGCCAAACCGCTGTGTTCTGGGAACCGCGGGGCTCCTCCTTCCCGGAACCCCAAAGCGTCAGTTCGGGACCCCCAAGGCCGCACAGTGGAGCGGCGGGTGTGTGTGTGTGTGTGAACCCTGCCTCGGGAGGAGGCGGAGAAACGAGGGAATAAACACGAGAAAACACGCAGTTGCAGCGGAAGCCCTAGGTGGGTGCGCGAGGGCGCGGGATACTGGTGTGGTATGGGGGTCCCTCTTGGAAAGGGGGTGCGGGGGCGCCGTGAGCCAGGCCCAGCACCCCGGTAACCCCAGGCTTACCCGTTTGTTCTTCAGCCCTGCACCCACCCCGCGTGCCCTCCCCCCGCCTTTCCAGGCACTGCGCCCGCCCCCAAACACCATCCCGGCGCTGGGCGCCTCAGGCCCACCTACCTCGCTGCCCCCTCACCTGAAACCACCAGCGCCTCGTTGGGCCCCACGGTGTGGCAGTTGCCCATGGCGTCGGCGGGACGGAGGCCCTCGGGGAGCGCAGAGACCCGGACCGCAGCAGCCGGCCTGCACCCTACACGCCAGCCGCGCCCAGCCTATCCCGCCACCCCCGCGGCCGCCCGCCCGCGCCCCTCCGCGCCCGCAGCCCCCCGGAAGTGTGCGGCGGAGGGCGGGGCCGGCTCGCGAGCTGCAGGAACGAGCGCGAGCCCCGGCTGTCCACACGCTTTATTGCACGGCGGTCTGGATCGCAGGGCTCAGCCCTATAGCACCCCGGAAGGCGCACCCTGTTCCCACGGTACGCTTCAATAACCACCGCTCTGCCCCACCAGCACCCCCAGTAGTCGGCCCTGGAACTCCCCTTCTACTGCATCAGGGTGGTCCCCAGGAAAGGGGAGGTGCCCCTCTCCCTGCCCTGTAACGCTACTAGCGGTGAGACCTGGAGTGAGTCTCTCACCTCTGCAAAATGGGGGTAATTGCCTACCTAGCTATATGGTTGCTAAGGGCCCAGTTCATTGTTGGCAGTGCATTAAATTGCAAATTCCCAGGCCCTTCTTCAGAACTGATCAGCATCATCAAGGGTGGGGCCTGAAAATAGGATATTAACATTCCCGCTGAGCCGAGTCTGGCACATTACCTCCTTCCTACCTCACAATCTGGGGTTATTGTTACTTTCAGGAAGAAATGATCAACCATTAGTTCTTTCTACCAGGTAAAGAGTTGTCCAGGACACATCTTCAAGCCCCAGAAAGTAACCCTGGAGGTCAAAACTGCAAAGCCCTCAGTGCTAAGGGCCTGGCCTGGCATGCAGCTATGATTTTCTTGGGCCTTCGAGTTCCATAGAAAGCATCCCAGTCAGGGGTTATGAGAGGCTTGGGATACAGTTTCAGCTTTAACCAGACTTCGGTGTGTGACCTTAGACAAGTCTGGTGAGCTCTGAGGGCTGGGGAGGGGTTCAGAAACTGTGGGCTCCTCAAGGTGGGGGCTGCTCAGAGAAGACGAGGCCCCTGGGTCTTCAGACTGGACATCTTCGTCAGGTTCAGCATCCTCCCCAGGCTCAAGCCCTGCCAGCTTTTTGCTGGCCTCCCAGAGCCAGTGAGCTGCCCGGTCGTCTCTGGCAGCTGGGGGCACCTCTTCCACTCGGCAGTTGGCAAAGTATCTCCCACTGAGAGGCTCAATGCCCTCCTGTAGAGCGCAGTACAGGGGTGTCTGGGCACCTCCTCTTGGTGCCCGCAGCACCAGCCAAGCCAGTGGGCACAATAGTGGGCGCAGCCATCCTGGAACATGGCGCAGGAACAGCTCTGAATTCACAGGCCCTGTGAAGGGAAAGGAAGGAGTTGGGAGGATAGCAGGGGAGGGTCCAGGGTAAGAGCAACAAGAACAGGGGTAGATGGGAGTGGGGACAGAGTTCAGTTCTAGGAAAACCAGGACATTCAGGGCGCAGTCATTTCCAACAGCCAGCTGTCTCCTCTTCATCCAAGCTACTTGTATAACCCCTTCTCCCAGTTTTGCCCACACTGTGTCCCAGGCCTCAAGCAATTCTTTCTCCATCTTTTTTTTTTTAAGCTTAATTCACCTTCCTTTGTTTCACTAGCAGACATCTCAGTAACACCTGTGTTAGGCCAGTCACCGTTTTGGATGTTAGTAATGTGGGGAATAATAAAGACCCATAAAAGCTATGTTCATTATTATTGTGGCTATTATAATTATTAATGGGCCTCAGGCAGTAAATATCTAAAATGCAGTATGGTAAGATATGGAGGGAAGATCTTGTTATCCTGTAACCTGTTCCCTGAAGGCAGGGATGGGTCTTATTCAACAGTTGTTTCACTCAGACTAAAAACAAAAATGTCTAGACTTTGTCTCGTGCCACTCTCCTCTCAGTTCCAGGCTCCCTGTTCTTTCTCAAGCACACGGAGCACATCTGCCTCAGCATCTTTACACTTGCTGTTTGCTCTGTTCTTTTTTTTTTTTTTTTAAGATTTATTTTATTTATTTATGCATACAAGAGCTGGGGTGTAGGCCTGAGTTGCAGGGGCAGTGAGAGGATTCACCAGAGACAGTGGGGAGCAGAACAGGCAGACTGACTGAAATACACTGCTGAGGGGAGCAGTGGGCGAGGCAGGGGAGGTCTGCTGTGCCAAGTGGGTAGCTCCCTGGCTGGGGATTGAACTTGTGCAGCAGTGGCTGGTGATAGCTTCATAGTGCTGAGACTTAATCCCCTGGGCCACCAGGGAGGCCCTGTTCTGTTTTTTTTTAAAGATTTTATTTATTTATTTTTGCGTAGAAGAGCTGGAGTGTGGATCAAAGGTGCGGGGGTGGGGGTGAGAGAATTCAACAGAGACAGAGTGGGGAGCAGAGCAGATGGATTTACTGAAATACATGCTAAGGGGAGCAGTGGGAGAGACAGGAGAGGTCTGCTGTGCCAAATGTGTGTTAGCTCCCTGAGATCGAACACAGGCCTTAGCAGTGATAGTGCTGAGACTTAACCCCCAGGCCACCAGGGATGCCCTGTTTGCTCTGTTCTTCACACACTTCTCCCCAGAAAGTCCCTGCATAAATGTCATCTTTTCAAATATGTCTTTTTTTTTTTTTTTTTAGATTTATTTATTTATTTATACAAGCACTGGGTACAGTCAGAAGCGCGGGAGGGTGAGAGAATTCACCAGAGCCAGAGCGGGGAGCAGAGCAGTCAGAAGGACCGAAGTACACTGCTGAGGGGAGCAGCGGGCGGCAGGAGAGGTCTGCGCGCCTTCAAATATGTCTTAACTGCCAAAGATAAAATACCACCCATGTCATTTCATATTCCCCTTACCTTGTTTTATCTTTCTTCATAGCACTTGGTCACCACTTGTCACATATATTTCTTTATTAGCTGTCTCCTTTCCCTTAAACTAGAATCTAAACTCTACACGGTAAAGTCTTTGTTTTGTTCACTGCTATATCCTCATCATCAAGATTAATGCCTAGAATATAGTAGGTACTAAGTAAATGCTTCTTAAATGAGTAATTATTAGCTATCATCATCATTATCATATCATAGCCACTTTACATGGATGGCTCGTGGGGTAAGAACCTGGGCATTATTCATTGCCATATCCTGCTCAGGAGTCAGCATCCAGGTTGGTGGTGTAAGAGGAAGAACCCAAACAGGGAGAGCCTGGTTTCAGCAGCAGCAAGGAATAGTTGTCTCCTAGATCATGTTTCCTTCTTGCTCTGAGATTCTGTGGCTCACTGAGAGGCTGGGGGAGACAGGTTGGGGAAAGAATGGGAGGAGGAGTCACAGCCTTACCTGGGTGGGCTGCGTAGCAGGTAATGCCAGTGCCTTCAAGCTGGGTGGAGAGCTCCCGGGCAAACAATACATTCGCCAGCTTACTGTCAGCATATGCCCGGAGCTCCTGCCGCCAGCCCACCACTGGGCGGTCCAGGCGGGTGAAGTCGAGGCGCCCTCGGCGGTGTGCAGCTGAGGATACCACCACCACGCGGCTAGGGGCACATGTCTTCAGCCGGGGCAGTAGCAAATGTGTCAGCAGGAAGGGGCCAATGTGGTTCACTCGCAGCAGCAGGTTAAAGGGCTCTCGGGTCTGGCCACAGGAACTGATCCCTGGGGCAGGGGCTAGGTGTGAGTAACTGCTCCGGAGGGAACCCAGCAGGCCTGGGCATCCCCATCTGTGAGATGGTGGCAGGGGGCATCATTCCCACATGTCCACTGCCCAACCCCCCTCCAAAGCCTGGCTGGAGGGGACAGCTGGCCCTGGCCACCCGCCAACCCCCTGCAGGGCCTGGTGCCCCTCACCGGCATTGTGGATGAGGATGTCCAGCCGAGGCTCAGAGCTCAGGAAGGCAGTGGCAAAGGCCCGCACTGAGGCCAGACTGGCCAAGTCCAAGGCCATGAAGATGACCTCATTGTTCCCACTCTCCTGTGGAGTGGCAAGGGCTGGGCTTGTCACCAGATACCTCTTCCCTCTCCCCAGGCACCAAATTCTGAGTTTACCTCTATTCTTACTAAGATCTGCTCTTATGCATTAGAATGCAGTGGATAAGTGTGTGGATTCTGGATGCAAATCCTTACTTTGCCTTTTACTAGTGTGAACTTGAGCAAGATATTTAATCTCTCTGGACTACATTTCTCTCACTAAAATGGGAATAATAATATTACCTAGCTGGTAAAGCTGCTGTGAAGATTAAGTGATCTAATATATATATTAGATCACTATTATTACTATTATTATTTTCTGTGCCCATTAATACTAACCCTAAAATTAAAATCTACAACAGATTCCTCTTACCCACTCTTGTCCCCTTGAGCCCAGGCATCTCACAACCACCAAGGGATTCTTCCAAAAATGCTATTCAGTTAGTCCAGATCCTGCTGAGGACCATTCATTGGACTTCCACTGCTGATCCTACATTATCGAGCTCCTTAACAGGGTCTATTAGGTCACCAGAGCCTGATCCTGCCTCAGAACCTCCAACCCTTTCATTTGCCTCTTTCCCCCATGCTCTTGTGCTCCTGTCTCATGAAAAAATTTTTTCAGTGCCTTAAATCGGAACCAGCTTTCTTACCTCCAACCTTTGCACATGCGGTTCCCTCCCCTACTGTCTTTCATTAGTAGCACTGCTGCCCGTAGAAAGGCAATTCCTTTCTTTAAGAAGCCCACTCCTCAGTTTGGGTCTGGTGCCCCTCTCTTCTGCACTTAATGGACAGAACCCCTCTCTCCTCTTAGGGGCGGGATCCCTCGGAGTTGCTCTGCTCACCCCTTTTTGTCCTGGTGGGTCTGTCCTCTGCGCACCGACCTACTCCTGCCCGCGCTCCCTCACCTGGCGGAGGTCGAAGGCGGCAGCTTCCCCGCGCTCCCGGCTGCGACAGGCCAGCACCACGCGCGCGCCCCGGCGCGCCAGCTCCAGCGCCGTCATCTTCCCGATGCCGCTGTTGGCGCCTGCGGGCGGCGGGCGCGAGCCGAGCTGAGCAAGGCGGGCCTCCAACCCCGCCGCCCCGCGTCCCGGAGCCCGCCCCGCGCCCGTCAGCGCTCACCCGTGACCACGGCGGTGCGGCCCCGCAGGCTGGCGATGCCGCCGCACGGCGGGGCC